CACTCCCATTTTTATGATATCCGTAAATATTATATTATAAAATTATTATTATTATTATTATGTTATTTTTTATTATCCGTGAATGTTAGAAACTGGACAAATTGAATGCAGCGGTCAAGGAAAAGCGACCAGAATTGGTCAATCGTAAAGGTGCCATTTTCCACCAGGACAATGCTAGGCCGCCGTCTTTGTCCACTCGGCAAAAATTGATGGATATTGCTTGGGAATTGATGTTACACCCACCATATAGCCCTGATCTCGCGCCATCGGATTACCACTTATTTCGATCCCTGGACAACTCCCTCTGTGGTAAAACTTTTAATGATGATGACGCTGTAAAATCTCGCTTAACTCAGTTTTTGGCCGAAAAGAATCAGACTTTCTACGAGCGTGGAATTTTCAAGTTGTCAGAGAGATGGCAAAAGGTCATCGAACAAAATGGAAAATACATTACAGATTAAACTTCATTCCAAGTAAAAAAATTTGTTATTTCATTGAACAAATCGGCAATTACTTAGTTGCCGACCCAATAGAATCCTGGAGCTCGCAGCCATCGGTGAAACGGTGCTGCACCTTAAGATTAGAGCGCGCGACAATCCCATCGGGCTAAGTAAAAGACTTAATAAGAAGGAGAGTGGGAGTGTACGGGAGAGTATAGCACGGTTTGCTACCGAAAACCGTGGAAGATCATTGCCGTGCGACCTCCCGTAATGCGACGACGGGTTTTTGCTTAGCGAATCATCGCGAAACCGTGAATTGTTCAGTGATCCTTTATAGTTTCTCACGAGGTGGCTCGGATAATTATGCGACTGCAAGGAAGAAAGACGCAAGTCACGTGTTTTTCACCTTCGAGGTATTGTCGCTTAATAAGGCTACAGTTACAGTGGACGTGCATTTGTACGTAATAGCTTTCTGTCGTACACGTCGGAACAATCAATCACGTTGATTCTTATGCGAGTGGTTACATTGGGTGCGTTTCCTGAAAACAGAAGACCGACGAATTCGTCAGAACGTTTGATCCCCATCGTGTGATAAACAATTCCCGACTTCTGTTCCGTGAAATGTGTCTGAATGTTAGTTAATGCGTTAAGCAAACTGCAGTGTAGTAGTAATATAATTTCATTGTTTCGGCATTGATTGTCGTCGCGTATACGTATAGTGCTACGAATTCATCTTTCAAACGTGTTTGATCCCTCGCTTCAACTCGTTCGCAGAAAAGAATGTAATCGTGGACACAGATAAATTAATAACATTAGTTCGTGAACGGCGGTACTTATAGAACTTAAAAACTAAAGAATACCATAATCCATATTTAATTCAAATAAAATAGGAGAAGATTGGTCGAGAAATGGACACAAATAGTAATTACATTTACAGTAATGTAGACATTTAAATCATTATTATTATTATTCACATTATACAATATACAGTTTAATAGTCGTCAGAACTCCTAATTTAAGTAGTAAAATAATTCTTGTCAATTTGTATCAAGTAAGCTGCATAGCAGTGTTCCTGTAAGTGTTCTTATTTGTTTTTTGTTCATATTAATATCTCACATTCATTTTAATACTTTTATTTGAAGAAACTGTTTAAAACAACTAGAAAAGTCTTAAAGTACAATCTAAATGCTTACAGAAATATAAGAGACTACTAAACGCGATTAATGCATATTTGTTTATAGTGACTGATAGATTGGATTTACGTGAAACATTTCTCGCATGAATATTTTTACAATACCAGTGACTGCAAACGAAGAATTCAAAGATCGGTGAATTTGACCAGTGTGTTAACGTGTAAAATAATTTCAAAAAATAAACGCTATAAAAAATTGAACGCACGATAATGTACCTCCTAAATTTCAATGTTACATCTTTCACGTAACTTCGCATCACAATGAAAATGTATGCCGCAGCATTCACGACCGCGAATGGTGTTAACCGTCGTAGAATTTCGCGGTGCCGCATCCGCTTGGATGACAACAGCCGGCGGAAACGAGTGGAAATACCGCGGTCTGATCACGCGAACGGGTCAAACGGAAAGTATCTAACACCTTGGAGCAATCGTCTCGCTATTAGTCATCCCGTAGCACGGGTGAAAACGAGCAGGTAGCAAGCGTCGGATGAGAAATGCGACCGTCATGGACAGCCCGGCGAAAGAAGAGTCGGACAGGTCCGGTTTGTCTGACGTGGGCGCGATGCCCTCTTCTCACAATGATCCCCGCGATCTCGCTGAGATCCTGTACCCTTGTCATCAGCTCCCCAGCCCCCCGTTTAAGGATTTCGGATCAAAGGTTCGCGAGTGGCCGCGCGCGGGTGAACGCACCCTGACGCGGCAGGACGTTGTCCCTTGCGACGCCTACGTGGTTTCGTCTGGAGCCGACCGCGCGTAGCTAAACCGTGACAAGGACCCGGTGAATTTCTAAGAAAGGCTATGCAATTTTCGAGTCCTGTTCCGGAGCGGCCTTGTTAGCCGACACCGCGAAAATTTATCACCCCGTCGTCGTTACAAGCAGCTAACTATCTCGTACTCCTTTCCAGGTGGATAGAGTATCATCATCAGAACGTGATGAGCGGCGTGGATGTAATGAGGCTGCGGGATCAACGCCATAGAAAAGTTCGTGTATCACTGGAACACGGGGTGGCGTGGATCCACAGGGCGGGAGAGGGCCGACGGGGAGAGGTGAAGAGAACAGATTGAGGTCGAGGTCACGGTGAAATTTTTTCGAATTGCGTCAATCATGAGGCCTATAGACTACGCGCGGATGGTTGCCGGGTAGTGATTACATCGTTTTCAGTCGGCTGTAATATATTACTTAGCTTGTTATTAGTATTATGCCACGGTGTTTCTTCGTTATAGACAAAAGATTAAGTGACTTGTCAAACATGCTGGGAGCAGTGAGATCATCTTATCAAGGCGGGTCCGGAGACTAATTGCCTGCGAAACGTGCAATTTTGTTAGTTTGATGGCCGATCGACAAGATTCGAGCGAGTGGCTCTTCTTTCTGCTGTTATAGGATGCTTGTTCAAAATGTAGGGCAAACGCGAAGACGTTGATTAAGCGTTCGATTTACTAACTTCTTATCAAGTTTTTAGTCCTTGTTTTCATCGCGATCTAATAGAAACATTTTTACGTAAAGTGCATTCCGGAGGACTTTGTTTAATTGCGAGGAAGTCGTGGATAAATCTTGAGTGTCCTCTTCGAATACGGGCGCAATTGCAACTTGATCTTTTCTGGAAATTAGAGGATCCTTTAAAGTGTTAATTATAATCTACAATCTACGTTATAAGTCTTCATGTAGAGTTCATTGTAAGCCATGTAGTCAGATCATGCGACCACACTAGAATCAAAAATATATAAATAATAATAAAGAAGCATCTGCAGTTTAATATAATAGGCGATGAATAGATTACGAATTTTTGTGAAAAATAATTAATTTATTAATTGCAAGATATGGCAGCTATATACACATTCATTTCACTTATTAATAATTTGAATGAATTGATAGAAATATAACAGTAAATTCTTTAAATATCTCTTCTTTTACATTAACCATTCTTCATATTATTGACCTATATTTATTTTAGAAGAAGTTACAACACAATGTGAACAATATGACAAATTTTGTTTCCATTAGTATCAAGCAAGTATGATTTATTTATTTAAATGACTTGTTTGTGATTTTCTCTTTTATTTTTCTTTTAAGGCATACGTACACATTTCAAATTTATTATTATTGTCATTACTATTATACAATACGCCATTTGAAAGCACAAATGTCACAAAAATCCGACGTATAGATCATAGCTGTGGAATCTTTTTGCATAAAAGTGTACAATTGCACAGTTTGCACAGTTGCACAGTTTTTGCACAGTTTATTTCCAAACAGCCTAATACTATCATATCAAATAAGAAAATCTATTGGTGTGAAATTGTTGAACGTCTTTGCTCGCTCATATAATAAAATCCAAACAAAATCTGAATAAGTTCGATCTCACCTGTACCGTTGGCCAATATAAATCACTTCCATTTATTGGCCGGTAATTGCGCCATAAACGGACACTAATACCGCCACAAATAGTTTATAATAGCAACCCGACCGCTTATTAAACTTCATTAAATTCAAGGACTACCACAAAAACGCCAAAGACAGTTTTTCCAATGTTCCTGGAATCGATTCGCTTTTTCGATCTGATAATTTATTCGAACGTGAAATTGCGTTAGGCACCGAACAGGCACCGAACATCCGAGCGAATTAAGTATTCAAATCCTTCAGAAGTTCTTTAACGAGCCGAGCGGACCAGAACTCACTGGATTAGTCCCATTTCTCGCGTCCGGACTTGGCGTCTAAACGAGCGGATTAGCTCCGACTTGTTAGCAGCTTCTCGGGGTCTCTCTCTCCCCTTTCAGTCAGCTGGCATGGCTGACTGCCGAGAGCCAAATGCAGCTACTCACCCCTGGACGACGGTCGTCGAAATCGTGCTCAAAATCTGGCTAAAACGACTTTATTCGTTTTCGTGAGAACAAAAGTACTTGGAAATGAATTAATACTATCGATTGCCACAATTTCACAATAAAATGCGCAGAATAACAAACTTTCAAATGGATTTATAAATGATTGTAAATATTATATGATTTTTTATATTATTTTACTTCAATACAAATTTTCTTTCGCAATTATCGATTTAAATGATTGTAAATATTATATGATTTTTTATATTATTTTACTTCAATACAAATTTTCTTTCGCAATTATCGATTTAAATGATTGTAAATATTATATGATTTTTTATATTATTTTACTTCAATACAAATTTTCTTTCGTAATTATCGATTTAAATAAATTGGTGCCATCTTTCATCGCACTCATTCAATTCGAAGTGTAAGATTTTAGAAGTCTTGAATCGTGAACTATGAATAACGAAATATAGTTTTTCAAACTGACCACAGGTGTTTGTCGAGCGTGCAAATTTGTTGTTGAAATCTGAACTTCAAGTTCAACCCTTTGCACTACGATGTCTTTCACAGCTACATACAGTGTGTAACAAATGTATTCGAACACTTAGATTTTGTGCAATATCTTTATATAAACAAATGATACATTAACGATATCCGTATGAATTAATAGTCTCTCGGGCGAAGAAATAATGTGTAAAATAACTATTTTTAATATTGAGTTTTAGAAAGAATAAATGTAACAAATATTAAAATTCTATTCGATAAGATAACGTTGCTTCTCTGAAACGATGGTTATGTCAAGATTAACAATTCATCAGTATTTACAATTTATTGTAAGCGTGTTCACAGTCATTACAAGGTTGTGTCAAAGTTCTGTCAAGATTATGTGAATTGTATGAATCTTACTTTTATGAACTTTTCGTACTCGAAGTTACGTGAAGATCGTTGGATTCGTTTTTTCCTCGACTATCATATAGCGATAATAAAATTGTCATTCCACTTAAAAAAGACTTCGATGACCTTGAAATCTCAAAGAAATATAACCGTGAACAAATTTGTTTGCCTATCATAATATTTGCTCCTCTGAAATACCTAATATCGTGCTTGGACATTTCCTTCTATCTTAAAAAAACAAGCGAGATATTTTAGATGTTCGAGTTGCGTGAGACACCCTATATAGTGAACATTCTGTTATCTAAGAGAGCAAAGATATGATATTTTACACAAAATTTTGTAAATCGTCTTGTTGCCAGCTTCCGAGTCGAAGCACTGCGCTGCGCGTCCCCTGATTTTGCTCGGCAAATTTTCGGTTCCCCTTTTATCTTAATCGGTGGATCTAAGGGATCGCGACCGGGGACCTCGATCGTGCGACAAAAGAAGGAAACCGTCGCAGTTCGTTCGCCGAGTCGATCAAATTAGGTGGACGTGCGACACGCGAGGAATTCGAGCAGCCAGCAGAGCCACCGTGCCTCCCCCTCCCTGACCCCTGATTTGCCATGCATCTTCGTTCATGTCAGTTCGATCGGCGGAATGAAAGAGAAATGGCAAAACCTCGTCCCGAGTGTCAGGAACACGTGGATCAAGTTGTCTAGGGGCTTTTCTCATCGCGTGTCACGATGGAATTAAGATGACTTATCTGAAGTTCCTTCGATTTTGTTTATGCGAGCGGAAATAAAAGACCGTCTTTTAATTTAATTCTCGTTCCTTCTACCCTGTCAGATAGGCCAGCGACCTTATCGAACGCCGAGGCGTGCGTAGGGTGAACCACCTGATGTTAGAACTTGTTGCGGCGGATTGCTGCTCGGAAAAGTCTTCTGGAGCCCGATAAATGTGTTCCAACCCTTTGGACAATGGGTGCTTTAGCAATTGAATGGCGAGATGGATTATTCGATTTTCGAACGATTCATTTTGACAGTAAAAACACTCAGAGCGATGCTTTGAAACGATCAGTTCACCGTTTCTAAGGGTTTTCTTTATTTAACACTTGGTTTACGGAGTATTGAAAAGAACTACTATTATATGTTCTATAGAGTACCATATACAATAAATGTAATAAAAATATTTTCGTAATAAAATAAAATAGTTTCTTTATAATAAATTTTTCTTTTTGAAATATATTATTCGAATTTATTTTATTGAACATAACAAACTATTAAATATATAATATATTTTAGCATTTATTTTAAAATAGATTATTTAAGTATTAAGGAAGTTATTTGAAGTATTTGAAGTATTTGATTAAGTATTGAGGTAGAATTTATTTACAATAATTGGAACAGGAAGTTATTCCTTCTCTTAAAGGGTCATGCACAGTCAGAAATCTTAAAAAAAAAAAACAATTTCTTGGTTTTGATTGTTTGTGTAAGTATTATATTTCGAGAATATTTTCTGAAAATTCTTAAAGTCTTAAAAGTTCTGAGAAAAAATTCCCAAAAGCATCATTTTTTTAACTCCTAACCGAGTAGGACTCCTTAATTGTCTTAATCTGCTGGAAATATATTGTAAAAGTCTTACCAAATTCTTTTAATATTCTACCTGTTTTGAGCTCCTCCTACATATTTTTATCGTAAATGCATAAACTCTGTAGTCTAATAATAACTAACTAGTTATAATCGTTACTCATTAATCAGATAACTTTTTGTCCAGCATCGCGTAAAAATAACAAGCATACTGTTGTAAATGGTTGTCTCAGTGTATCGAAGTGTCATTTATGAATGTAGAGAGAGCACATGGAACTCTCATTTCACTTTTCATTAATTCTATGTCTTCTTGTATGTCATACGATTGGTCATGATTTATTGCTTGCATCAAACTTTTATGTTTATCACGCCATCTTAAATAAAATTCCAACACATACATTTATTAACACTAGAGAACCATCAAACTAGTCAACAAATGGCTTTGCATATGTGCGTTGACAAACAGCACAATTGCTGTTAGATCTCTACTAGAAATCGATTTACACTGAAAGCATAAAAATATGCAAGTTATATAATTATATTTATACTCGAGTTCTAATAAATAGTTTTATCATTGCATTCGCAACGTATACAAGCTACACGCTGATATGGGAACCTAGCTTGGACGTTTTTCGTAAACAAATACTAGGTCGAAATTAAAAAAAAAAATGAAATTCATAGATATTAAAAACGATTGCTAAACAAAAGAAAATAATATCGAATTCACGTGATCGCTATCATGTTCGCCTATCGCGATCTCACGTCGCGAATACAGTACTCGAAAATTTCATCGGCAACAATGGCTAATCTCGGATCCTGTAATGCAAAAAATCGCGCCGTGAAAGCCCATTAGAATACACTTATTAGTAGCAATTGTAAAGAAATAAGGTATCCAGCCTCATTGCTCCCGGACGGAGAACAATGCAATAGGGCGAAGTTGGCGCGTCGTGTTCAGGTCACTGGTGCACCAGCAAACCGTTAGGATTCTCTGCAGCCAGGGAGAGGAACATTGTGCATAGCCACGGGTATAACCCTAACTTCCAAGAAACGATCGCTCATTGATCCTAGGTCTCTCCTCTTGTTGACGATATAGGTCACGTCCACATAACGGTCACCACTAAACTCACGGCTCGGGCTAATCAACCTGACACCAGCTGGAGCTGCTGTTTGTGATCGGGCTGCGCGCTGCGTTTCTGTCAATTCAGGCCCACACCATCTGGCAAATTCGCTCCTCGAAGAGATTCTTCCCCAAGATATGTTCATAGACTTCGTTTCACTATAGATTATAACGTGAAGGTTCAACGCGTTTTCGTCTCCTTAACCCGAGAAAGATAACCTACGTCGCAGAGGCGCCTGCGAAGACTGTTGATTTTTGTTAATTTTTCATAGAGGTCTAGTGATTTAAGTTTAAAATTACTTAAAATATAAAAAAATATAATATAAATGCATTTTATTTTTACAATAATGCCAAACCTTTAAAATGACTAGATTAACTTAAATAAATATCCATTGTTAGTATAAAATTGACGCCTTAGAAAAGCATGCGCCTCTGAAGCGTATGGTTATCTTTTACGTACGTTGTCATATGGTTTTCT